TGTTTCTGCTCATCGAGGTTTAGGTCGACCATCTTGGACATGCCAAAGTCGGTCACCTTGGCACCGGAACCACAGTGAAAAAATTTTGTTGTGGAAAGGTCGCGGTGCTGAATACCTTTCCGTGAAGGTATCGAGGCCAAATTGATTCGATGTGAAAAATTCACCTGACATATAGGGATAAGCTCTCTGTCGCCTCTATGAAGGCAGTGATGCTGTTCCTCAGCTCCTGAGGAGAATCGTTCTGGTTTGCTACGACACGTCGAGATCTTCCAGGACCCCCAGAACTGCACGATGCACGATCTCAGTGACCAGATCCGTCACTCCTGCTTGAAGCGTCTAATAAGTCCCGGACAAGTGATATCATGTGAGGTGAAGAAGATTTTGTGAAGGATTTAGCGCACAAGGAAGACCGTCAGCTTGCTTTTTATAACTCTCCAATGAGCACGTTACCGATTTCCCTCTGAGTTTTTATCAGTACTCTTCTGATACCCAAACGTTTTTCTGAGGTTATTTCTCGCGTCGTGAGTGGCTATCTTCCCTGCAAATCCCCGGTCGAAATGTCAATTTCAAAGTCTGGTTCTCAGACATTCTCTACTGGAAAACAATGCGTAAGGCTTACGTAATTCACCTTTTTTTAGATAAAAAAACTTCCTCTTTAAAGGAATTAACCTTGCTATTCATAATAAACTGTCAAGTTTCAGAACCTTTCCGTTTGACTAGCAAACCGCATTCCACTATTACTGCAAACATTGTTGCACTACAGTTAATGAATAATTTAAGCATCAGGGGTTCAGGGCAGTGAAAGGGACTATAGACACCTTGTGATCCCTAACTCCATCTCCCGTCCCTCTCATAAGCCCTCTCAATAAACCCTAAATCCCCCCCTCTCCTCCCCCATTATTCTCTCTTCCTAAGATGCGTCTAAACATGCTTTACCTACTTATTATGCATGGCCATAAAGTTTTCAAGAAGGGAAGGCAAGCAGATATGAATATCTATAGTTTTCACTCTTGTGCTGAATCATCAAGTTTTGTAAAATCCTTGGCCTCCGAATGTGAAACAAGATTTGAACACTCGTCATAATATATCCGATCATAGGATGACAACCCAAAATCCCAGAAAGCTATCCTAACTATATAGTGTATACATTGTAAACTCTTACTCTAGTATTACTGAGTTTTGAACTTATGCGAAGATGCTCACCAGCTATAATGCTAGCAAACTGTTTTTTTGCTATACGAGCTCAGACTTTGCTGCCTTGGGGTAGTTCCTATATATATAACCCTTGAAGCCAGCTTGAAGGGAGGTCTATCAACATTACACATTGCATTTACTACTTATATTCATGGTCATAAAATTGACAAGAAGGGGGAGTGACCGGAAATAAATATCTACATTTATTTCCATCCACATTGAGGCAAAAAGTGTTGAAGGTCCCTTACGAAAAGGATTATTTTAAACGATTATGACACTAACACTGTCATACTCAGAGCATCAGGAGATAATGCATAAATCCCAGAAAGCTATCCAAGATAGTGCATACATCTTTGTATACACTTCTCTTACTCTTGAGTATCACTGGATCCAGCGTGATTTTGTAACTCTATATATAGGTGAAAATGCGCACCAGCTTAAACTAGAAGACTGCTGCAATGCAGTTCTCAGTCTTAGCTGCGTGGGTGTAGTTCCTATATACCTTGAAGCCAGCTGTGATGTGTGTGTCTATCAACATTAAACATGCTTGCCTACTGATCATGTCATGGCCATAAAAGTTGACACGAAAGCGAGGTGACGAAATGAAATATCTCCATCCAACTGACAAACAAGTAGCCGCAGATCTTGCATTGGAGTAACATGATAAAAGCTCTGCATCACATGTCCAGTCCTTGATGAGTAGCAGGTCGTAAGCGTAGCAGACCACAGAGCATCAGGAATCTGCGTCGTGTCAAAAATCTTCTCACTGTGCCAGCTATTAGCTAAAATTGCGTCCTATACTTCTTTTCGTGTTTTCCTTCTTCGTTCCTGTCAGACTGAGCGTCGAGCTGTTTCGCAATTTTCTCACAAGTAAGAATGAGGTGTGTGAGAGCTGCCTAATGGCTCCACTTTTCTTCTGCCTTCTGTTCACACGTTGTATGCGGATACAAGTCACACGGTCAGTAAAAAGAAGGTGTCAGAATGTATTCAAGCCTGTATGGCTGACACCTGCATATGCAAGATCATCTAAGTTTTATGCAGATATGCAGATGCATGAATGTATGATGGGTGACAAAGGCTAATGCACTGTGTCCAACTGTTCCCCTGCATTACCGCATTCATGATGTGCAGATGAGCGACGTTTGGATGCTTAGTGAACTGACTACACCACCGCGCGCCGCCTCATCGTAACGGGGCGCGGCTGAGCTGCGCACTGATTTGGGGGCGGGGCTCAACGAAGCGCGCAACTTTGCATGCTGTGTTCTCAGGCCTGGAACGTCTAGAGCTCTGTAGCCTGTTAGTTTAGCGGCTCTAACGTACGCTGTAGTGTAATACGCCGGAGAGCAGTATACAAACTGTCATGAACGCATATAGAGCCTAATCTCCTCCGCTGTGCAAACGCGCACACATCATCGCGCGCTTCGCGTCAGTTTCCTGTTTTGAGACGCGTTGTTGGAAATGAGCACGCGCGCGCGCGGATATGACAGTCAAGGAGTGGAAAAGAGTGGGGCTGAGATATCGCCTCTCGCTCGCGCGAGCAGTTCCTTGTCCGCTTACCCCGCTATATGATAGTGGTCCAAGTTGGCCGCACTGAAAAAGATATACAAAGACGTGAATGGTCTGGTGTCGCAGTAACGCCGTACAGATAGCTATAGCTGCTAGCACAGCTAGGCGTAACACAACACACATACCTTCCGTTGCCAGCGGATAACTCTACCGGAGGTGAACTATAAAGAGTCTCTCCCCACCGCTCAAAGTATGTCTCCGTCGCTCTGGCATAGAGTCAAACAGAATCTAGAGCAAATCGACCGTAGATGATAGCTCTCGTTGTGACTCACTGTTCCGGAATCCAGAGAACTTAACCCGCAATAGTGTAGCCTCCTGAACGCAAGACGGCGGAGCTTGCAGCCGGCAAACGCGCCTCCTTTTCATTCCGCGGCGAAATCTGTCATCGCATGCGCAGAGAGCAGCTATCACATTTAACAACAACCCTAGCCCACGCTGCACACATATAATTTGTCCTGCGCGGGCGGCGCTGCGGTGTTTATTCTGGCAGGCGCTCAGACATCAGCATCAGACCTGTCACTACTGCACCGGCCCGGTTTCAGATCCGACGCCTTCGCTGCCTCTCCGACGAAAACCCGCTGGACTGGACTGTGCGAGGAGCTCAAGGCCGCGCCACTGCTCTCTTCTTCCCGCTGAGCGCGGAGAGATCCTCGTTGTCCGAGAGGGTATATACGTCACGCAGCGTTCCCTCATCCCTCACTCTCGCTTCCGCGGCGACTGTGTTAGCTTTACTCCTTCGTCTTTGAGCGGGTATAGACATATGTGGCGGGTGTGTTTTTGTATGTGTGTTGTTAGCATATGCCAGTGCCATGCTCAGCTGCATCTGGTGCCTATAATCGTTCCTCCTGGAGTCGCCGATAGTTACCTGGAGATGTAGCGGATTTGGTCAGGTAGATACCGACTTTGTGTGTGTGTCCGAGTCGCCGCGGGTATGTCCATCTTCGGAGGCCTCTGTATTTGGGCGCCACTCCTCCTCGTCCTACCTAGTCTAAGCAGTCCTCTCCACTCTACGTATAATACTGGTGTGCTGCTGGTTTTAAATGCTGCATATACAGGCAGTAGTATTGTGTGTGTGCGCGTGCACCTGCTATGTTGGGTACATGCTATTCTCATCTCCCAATCCTAGACACTAGACTCTCTTTCTCTCTTTTTTCTCTCTCTCGTTTTTTGCGTTGCATGCATCTTTTACTGCACTCTAATGCAGAGGTTTGTGTTCATCTAGAAGTAACCGTATATCAGCCAGTTTCCCCAAACACTGTGTAGCAATTAATCACTACACATATTGTGTACTGTAGCTAGCCAGTGTGTTTTGACTACAGAAGGATGTCATGGTACACAGTAGTAGAGGCAGTTTGGTCTGGTGCCTGGCACACAAGCCACCAGACATACCGACTGGTCCAATCTCGACATCGTTCCTTGTAGGAGGACAGATATCAGTTACATGAGTTGTAGCGCAATGTGCATCTAGCATAAGACAGTGTGTATGCAGCATATTGCACTCTATATAGTGATCTGTGTAATCCAGTTTTTAACACTAAAGCTGTATATACCTAATTCAAATTGGTTGTCCTGTTTTTTCGTTTATGCATATCTGAGTCATTAGGAACGATCAGTAATGTAAGTTTACTGTTCGTCATCACTGCCGTCTGTCATTGAACACTTGTAGTCCTCTCTCCCGAGATTTCCATTCTTAGAAACAGTCACGGCACTGCGTGATTGTGTGCTCCTTTCTTTTTGCTGTCATACGACTTCTAGTACTATGCTCTTGTCTGTAGTTTTGTGCATACGTATGTATGTGCCAATCAGTATATGACTGGGTGTTGTCAGTCAGTAATAATGTGGGCTGTCTCATGTTGTTGTTGTTGTTTGTCTCCTAGGAGACGTGGTAGTGATAATAGAGCAGACGTTGGCGGAGACTATTTCGTCATACACAACAGAGAACAGGCCGGTCGGGAAAGGTCCCTGTGGACTACATTGAGATCATTGACCCTCCCTCCCTCCCCTCCCCTCCCATACCTCTCCTCTTTCACCTCCCTGTTTTGACTCTTCATCTCTCATTCCCTACATATCTCTACCCTCTTTCCTCTCTCCTTCCCTCCCTTTTGCCATCTCTCTCCCTCCTCCCTCTCTCTACCCTCTTTCCTCTCTCCTTCCCTCCCTTTTGCCATCTCTCTCCCGCCTCCCTCTCTCTGCCCTCTTTCCTCTCTCCTTCCCTCCCTTTTGCCATCTCTCTCCCTCTCTCTGCCACCTTTCCATGTTCCTTATCCTTCCTCCCCCTTTACCATCTCCATGTATATCATTTCCAGCCCTTAGCCCAGACCCGCCTAGCTCTAGGAGCAACCGTGCAGTCTCATAGTTAGACTAATGCCTAGAAAGTGTGGTTTCCTATTTAATACACCAGGATGCAGTGAATCGTTTTCTTAGAGGCCTTAGACAACCACTACATTTCGTTGTTGTTCTATTCGTACATCGTCCCTATACAGTTCCCGAGGACGTTGATCAGCTCCTGCTACCAGCTAAGAACAAGTCAGACCAAACTGCCTCTAAACCAGGTACCAGCTTTCTTTGGTTTCATCTCTCCACATGATATCCACTCTTTAGTGTTACAGTTTGAATACTTACTTCGTATATATAACTCATGTCTAGGTCAAAATCTTCATCGTCAGCTCGGAGTATCTCGTAGGAAGGGAGTCGAAGTTCGCCAGAGGATGTCTGGAGCCTTCACCACTACAACTGACACCTCTGAACAGAATGGAGGTCTGTTTACTGCCATATGTACTACATCAGGGCTTCAAACTAGCACTCGCCGCCCGCCCGCGGCGGGTAAATCACGGCGCGGACGGGCGCTAACGCCTAAAGCGGTCGCCCGGCTGGCGAGAGACACACTAGACAGACTTAGTGGAGTTGTAATAGCGAAGTTGAGTTGTAATAACGTGGTTTAGTTCGGTATATAGTAGACGTGAGCCAGGTCTGTTTACTGCTGTATGTATGTAGGTTCTCTAGTACAATGTCTTTCCTGGTGATGTAAGGTATGATGCAGTCAAAAAATCACGTGAAAACTGCTCAAAATATGGGTTTTAAATGCCCAATCCGCCTGATTTACATCGTTGACGGAACTCTACCATTCATATACATAGTACACTTAAACCTCTGAATAAAATTGCCCCTTATAGAGAGATGTCATTTTTTCGTAGGATCTTTTTTCTGAGGTGTCACTGTTTTACAATGTATGCTACAGTAGGTCAATAAAACTGCTACCTCATCAGTAGCAGAAAAACACATTATATTATAATACTTGTCTCAATTCTCCTCACCATCCAGATCGCTCAACTAGTCAGTCGTCAACTTTTCCTCGTCTCTCTAAACCTGTCACCACAACAGCCCCCTCTTCAGCGCAGTCTCTTACCGTAGCTCCATCCAATGCCTCTACCAAGGTTGACATTCACGTGTTGTGTTGTGTTGTAGATTGAAACCCCTACCAGCTGAGTAGCTCAGTTGGTAGAGCGCTCGCCTAGACTGCAGAGTGTTGTAGATTCGAACCCCTACCAGCTGAGTTGCCCTGGTAGCTCAGTTGGTAGAGCGCTCGCCTAGACTGCAGAGTGTTGTAGATTCGAACCCCTACCAGCTGAGTTGCCCTGGTAGCTCAGTTGGTAGAGTGCTTGCCTAGACTGCAGAGTGTTGTAGATTCGAACCCCTATAATTATATCAGCTGAGTTGCCCTGGTAGCTCAGTTGGTAGAGTGCTTGCCTAGACTGCAGAGTGTCGTGGGTTCGAATCCCGCCCAGGGCAACTCTACTTTTCTTCGAAAAGAAAGTGCTGTCCTGGGTGTAGTTGACTTGTTTGCCTTTCTACATACCTCGTTACCAAGTTGTTGATACATTCTATTGCTCTAATTCTGTTTTATGTTTTTCTATCTTTGTCACATTTCGTGCTGTCACCTCAGGACTATAGATCAGCCACTTCACTCCCGGACATCGGTGAGACCGGTGACGTTCACCGAGACAGTCGCTCGGCAACGGTAGCCATGGCAACGGGGGAAGGAGCCAGTGCGCAGGATCCGGGAGACGACGACGTGGTGGAGTACGAGGAGGGATTTAAGATGGTGGAGAAATACAACATCATCTCTGTCTCTGGTACTATGATAATACTGCTTTGTTTTTCGCACACATGTATATATTAGAACCAGGTTTTTCTTGATGATTACTCAGCTTACTTAAGCAACTAGTTGGTATAAGTGTGCTCTATTAATTAAGCTACATACATTACTCCTAGACAATGTTTCTATCCATCTAGAAATCTACCTTGTACCTCCCACCATATTCTTTTCTCCTCCCTTCCTCTTCAGTTCTCTCTCTCTCTCTCTCTCTTGTCTCCCAGGATCAGATCGAGATGGTCGTCCAGTGATAGTCATATCGGCATGTCGTCTCCCTCCTTCATATGCCATCAACCACGACGTCCTACTCAGGTTAATTCACCACCCATGTGTAAATACCTCATTGCCTTCAGCCATCAATCACGACGTCCTACTCAGGTTAATTCACCACCTCCCACCTCATGTGTAAATACCTCATTGCCTTACACTATACTTCATCTGCATATGCCATCAATCACGATGTCCTACTCAGGTTAATTCACCACCTCCCACCTCATGTGTAATTACCTTACACTATACTTCATCTGCATATGCCATCAATCACGATGTCCTACTCAGGTTAATTCACCACCTCATGTGTAAATACCTCATTACCTTACACTATACTTCAGCTGCATATGCCATCAATCACGATGTCCTACTCAGGTTAATTCACCACCTCATGTGTAAATACCTCATTGCCTTACACTATACTTCATCTGCATATGCCATCAATCACGACGTCCTACTCAGGTTAATTCACCACCTCCCACCTCATGTCTCATTACCTTACACTATACTTCATCTGCATATGCCATCAATCACGACGTCCTACTCAGGTTAATTCACCACCTCATGTGTAATTACCTTACACTATACTTCATCTGCATATGCCATCAATCACGACGTCCTACTCAGGTTAATTCACCACCTCATGTGTAAATACCTCATTGCCTTACACTATACTTCAGCTGCATATGCCATCAATCACGACGTCCTACTCAGGTTAATTCACCACCTCATGATACCTCATTGCCTTACACTATACTTCATCTGCATATGCCATCAATCATGACATCATTCGCCATCTCATATGGGTATATACCTTATATGTACAAATACATGACTTCAGGTTATGTGGCTTTAGGCCTTAATCACATATGGAAAATCAGTAACTTTTCAAACACAACACATCACTTCACCTCAGCAGTCATGCTTGCACGCTAAATCTGTGCTAAATCTGTGTGAGCCAAAATGCATTCATGCAATGTGTATAATTGCATTCCGCAGTGTAAGTTTATCCTCACGGCATTTGGGGAAACAGGGTACTTATGTTTCAATAAGGGGCGAGGCGTACAGAGCACCTGTGACAACAATACCTCTTTCAACACCGCTGGACTGCTGCATGTCCATGCTTAACCTTCTTTCAGTATATCATAGTGAGAGCTTCTTAGTACCATGGTGAGCTGTCCTACTGTGCTTTAATTTTCTGAGAAGCGTGCCTACCTAGTCGTCTAAACTGTTTGAACTTTAACTTTCACAGTCCTCAATATGGTCATGCTGTATGTAATTCTAAATAAACGTAAATCTGCTGAAATTTCGCACTCGTGTTCACTTGCCAAAGACTCGTTGCGTTCATCTACTAATCGCTCCATCATTGTTGCCTTGTGTACAGGTATGGGAAGTATTTCTTGGACTCTAGCACTCGGTGTTCAGTCACCATATATGAATTGCGTTCACCTAGTAATGGCTCCATCAGTGTTGCCTTGTGTACAGGTATGGGAAGTATTTCCTGGACAAGATAGTGGAGCAGGACTACACACTGCTGTATTGCCACCACGGTCTGCGGAGCCACAATAAACCGTCTTTCTCGTGGCTGAGAAAGGTTTACGCAGAAATGGACCGCAAGTGAGTAAACACTGGTACAGTGTACATTTGTGGTTAAAATATTGGTTAACTCTTTATGGTCTGTCATTGCGTCTTTGGACCCTAAAGAGTTAAACTTGAAAACTGGTCAGTTCTTCATGTATAAGACTAAGTTTTGAGTCACGAAATCTGCTGGTCAGCAGTTTCATTGTTCTCAGCTCGTAACCCATGTTCATAACCTGTTTTTCTTATGGCATACTATGCATTGGGTAACCAACAACAAATGACTCGCGACTCAAAACTAGTCTTACATGTGAAGTAACAAAGTGAAACTTGAATATATGCATATTGGACGGTTGGCACAATCGCAGTGCCTTCAAGCATATTGTTTTTCACGGAAATCGGACATATATATATTTTTTTTATATAGGTCTATGGTTTGTGAAGTGTATAGTTAGTGTTATGTAATATTATGTGTTCAGGTACAAGAAGAACATCAAGAAGGTGTATGTTCTTCATCCGACCAACTTCATCAGAGTCATGTTGTCCCTCATGAAACCTTTCCTCAAGTACGTGATGATTTATTATTGACTCTGTATCTGCTGTAGTTGCTAAGCTTAACACTTTACCAGCCACGGACACATGTAAATGTGTCCGTAAGTCCATACGAATTTATATGGGAGTTATAATACTAGGTGCTAATACTTTATACATCAATTTCTGCTTCTTTAAGCAGATACCCATGGCGTCCAAACTGTTGATCAATTACACAACAGTGTGGTGTTTCGCACTAGCAGAGTATTATATGGGGGATGACACTATTATAGTGTATGTAGTGTTCCTGAACCTTTTCAATAGCAGCTACAATTGACTCTCTTTCTCTCTCCTCCACGATTATCTATCGCAGCTACAAGTTTGGGAGGAAGCTGTCCTACGTCAACAGACTTGCAGAGTTGGAACAGGTTCTGTATCTGGACAAACTGGATATTCCCGACGAAGTCAAACAGTCAGTGGGGTTACCATAACAACAGTGTTTCGAAAATGCTCTACAGCTTGTGCAGTGCTCTAGCATTAGTAGAATGGCATTTTTGGCTAGTGAACGAAAGTGTAGTCAAACTAGTGCAGCATTTGAGCTGCTCTAAGTGATGTTTATGCCTGCTTTGAGTCTCAAATCTGATTATTTCCACGTGCACACACCTCTTACCCCTCCATCACAATTTCCCCACTGTCACCATCTTCACTCCTCACTCCCTCCCCTCAATCTGCGTGTGCGCACGGCGGAAATTGACATTCCTAAGCGTGACTAATTGACACAAGAGAAAACGTAGTGGCTACACATTTTTGTAGCAAAAACAATAGTAGCAGTTATATAAAAGAATTGTGCAATTTAGGCGAGCTTTGGGACGCTGCTGCACACTTTTGACACGTGAACCACGGAGGAAGGAGGGTAAACATAACCTCATGAAGGCATATGTAATGTACGGTACTAACACATGTTGATAGGCAGAGACATCTGTGTTTACTGGTTAGTGAGTATAAATGTTTACAAGAGTCATTCTGTGTCTACTTTCATTCTGAAAGCATGTTCGATATTATGTCGCACACTTCACTGACAGACGCGTATATACACATTTGTCATTGCTCAGAGGAAGCTGAGCACTGAGGGGATTGCACTTTAGTTCTTTATTCTCTGTTCTTCATTCTCCTCCCTCCCTCCCTCCCTCCCTCCCTCCTCCCTCCCTCCTCCCTCCCTCCTTCCCTCCCTCTATGAGTGTGTATAAAATACTCCCGTGTGTGAGTTAATCATTTAGCTCTCTTCTTGATTCTGTACGCTCCTCCCTCCCTCCCTCCCTCCCTCTCTCTCACACACAGGTATGACCTGTCCCTGAAGGTTCCAGTCCGCCATCTTGCCACCTCTGACTCCCGCTCTGTCTTCCACACTCCTCTCCCTCTCTCCGGGGAGGAGGAGAAGGGAGGAGAGGCGTCCGCTGGCCACGCAGCTCGGGCCTCCAGAAGACAGTTTGGAGTGAGGCTCGAAAAGTGAGACTTGTACCTCACACATGCACATGAGTATGCCAGATCGAGCCCCCATTCATAAAACCGCACATATATCCTCTGTGGGGTTGTTACTAGTAGAGGGAGGGGCGGCTGTGGGTGTGGCCAAACTTGCGTGCAGGTGGTTTAAGGAACATGAGGTTAAAGGTTTGAGCCAATCCCATTAGTAGCCAAATATACATACATACTACAAACATCTAGTAATTGACAGTTGCATGCAATGCAGGAAGCTTTCTATGAGAGAGCAAATTCCCCTCAGCCCTTCACTAAAAAAATGCTCTGTTTGTAACCTTACAACAAAGGCTTATATAACCAGGTGTTGTACTACAAGTTCATCTCCAGGTGTTGCCCCATTCAGGGTGGGGAGTGGATCGACCCAAAACTTTCAAGATTATTTGCATGTTTCCCGGAATATAGCAAGCAAGGATAAGGGGAATTCAGGAAAACTCTCAGTTCACGACGTTCTGGGAACCTTATATGAAAGGCATAATAATTTCAAAAGGGTCGTGTGGCTTTATGAACTCCATATGTGTACATAATGGGATGTGAATCCTTTCGTTCCGTAATTAAAACCCTTTCTGCATTACTACACAAGGGCGCAGTGCTCCTTGCTATGCACAGGTAAAGTAATGGTTGCTGGTCGATTTGCAATGCGCAATATGCATGTCGACTTCTCATATGTGTACTACGTTATTAACCCTCAGCGCGCATGTGCAGCGAGGGTTACAGTACTTGGTCTGTCCGTCTGTCCATCTGTTACCACGTTTTCTGCCACCACGAGGTACCACGCATGCGCAGTTCGCCCAGAGTTTGCACTTTAGTGCTTCTCATTATACAAATGAACCATACTGTGTGCCCTCCTTGTTTTCCCTCCTCCCTCCCCTCCCTTCTTCCCTCTCCCTCCCTCCTCCCTTCTTCCCCCTCCCTCCCTCCCTTCCCTCCTCTCCCTCAGTCTTCAATTAGATGACAACAACATCCCTAAAGTACTGTCCACGTGTGTCGAATATCTGGAAAAGAAAGGTGAACTACAAACAACGACGCTTGTAGCCTTTGCAAATCAACATTATCGTAGTACAAAATAGTGAAATTTGTTTTAGTTAAGATTCATTTCATTGATCCCACTATTTATATGCACCATTAATTTGCGAGCAAAGTGGGCCTGCCTAGTGGTCTAGATGCTGGATTTTTTTGATTTACAAAAACAAAAAATCTGCACAGCTTCACCACCCCAGTTAGTTAGTGATGCTTGCATGTCATAAACCTCTGTGCATTGCTCTACAATCAAAGGAATGGAAGTTGTTGGAATATTCAGAAGATCTCCTGCCACCGCCACCATTCAGACTTGGAAGGAGCAATTCAACAAAGGTGGGTCACTTTTTTTACCGCGTCCCATTCCAGTCATGACTCCATACCTCTGTGTCCCTGTTCCAGGTCACGAAGTGGATCTGGAATCGCACGGCGACCCTCACCTGGCTGCCGTTCTCATCAAACTCTTTCTCAGGGAGCTCCCCGAACCACTACTCACCTTTAACCTCTACGATCCCATTCTGGCACTGAAATGTACACATGAAACTCATACCAGACTTTCCCAGCTTTCACACAAGCAATCCTCACACCATGCAATCGTCCTATCTTACTCAGACCTCTCACCTTCAGTGGCGGATCCAGGGGGGGGGGGGGTCTGAACCCCCTTTTTGTCGTTTTGCGCGCATGCATTGCCAGCCTCGTTCACTGCGTACACAGCGCAGTCGAAAACATTCTGGACAGCGGAACCCCCCTCTTCAAAATCCTAGATCTGCCACTGACCTCCCCCCTACATGAGCCCGACCTTTCGCCTTTCTCCCTAGATAACTTTTAATATTTCCCCCCTATCTTGCTCCGTACTTTCGTATTCTCCGACTCTTCGTATTCTCCCCTCCTTCTCATTGGCTTTCCCCATTCCCCCTTTTCTTGCTCTAACCTTTAATCTTTCCCCCTATCTTGGTTGGTGTTTACGTAGTTCATAATCGAGCGTACATAACTGTTTGTAAAGTCGTGAATTATTTTATTCTCTCAGCTCGACCGACCGAGGAGAAGGTCTCAGTGGTTCACATCATGCTGAGAGAAAGATTGCCTCCCATCAACTTTGACATTCTCAAATATCTCGTCCGGTTTCTCGCCAAGGTATATATACGTGTCCACGTGTGTCGTTTTTTTCTAACTCCTCTCTTCTTTCATTCCCACAGGTTTCTGCGCACGAAGAAGTCAACAAAATGTCACCGTCCAACATCTCCATTGTCATTGGTCCCAACCTAATCTGGGGCACTAACCCAGTTGCCAGCCTCGCTGCTCTCGGAGATATAAACTCTTTTACTCTTCTTCTCATCAACCATAGCTCTGAGATTTTCCCCGAACAGACTAAAGCATCCAAAACCGAAGAATACTAGATTGTGTTGTTCTATTGTCGCAACGTGTCGGTCGTATTTTTATCACACTGCGTTTTAGTCATTAAGATTTTATCATCCAGTTAATTGTACATGATTGCACAGAATGTGTTATTGATTTCTTTGTGTTTTAATCACCTGGTGATAATAATTATTATGTACAACTATACCACAAACATTTTAAATACGTAGCTATTGTGAAGATATTTGTGTGCAGTGCCAGTGAGGCTTGAACAGCACGTGTTGCCATATGGCGAAAGAGAGATATCTATGCCGTTGCAAACTTGTACCATGCAAAGCCATTTGTAGGAAGTTGTAAGGTTAAAGGTGTTAATTAATATCTTTTGGGGAAGTGTGTCGCCAGCTTGATGGCACACTTCCACTTTCCTGCATAATGAATACCTTGATTGCACCTGGTGATTACTTTCTTACTTTTACACAGCATAATAATAATAGGGCTAAAACAAACTAAACTCAGGGTTGTTTACACTGCTACATCCTGTATGGGCCATTAAACTCCAGGTCAGTTTACACTGCCACTTCCTGCATGACTATAAGATGCTACATCCTGTATGGGCCATTAACTCCAGGTGAGTTTACACTGCCGCCACTTCCTGCATGACTATAAGAGCTTTGACAGTGAGCAAACCTCCCAGTGCAACAGTGTAGTAGTGTATTCTATGAGCACAGCTACTTAGAAATAGCTATTATTACTAGTGCAAATGTTGAACATTGTTGGCGAGCGGGAGCGACCCAACTTGGGATTTGCCCGTGATGTTCGGGTTGCACAACGTGCCGTCAGCGCACAGCTTTCCTTTCGTGAAGCAAGATAGAGCTACCTGTCGCCGTTACATAACGTATTGTACATTGGCAGAACGGTGAGCAGGTGAGCAGAACGGTACTTCTTACGCTTTCAACTCGTCAGTCGTGGTTCACAAGGCAACTGGCATGCAGCAGTATGTGCACGAGCAATCCTAGCGTATTATGCAAGTTGCACCTTGGAACCATGAAGATTGGGAAGAGGTATATACAGCTTCGGTCAGTCACCGAAGGTTCGAGCGCATTCCGTCGATCGAATGAAGGAGAGTTGGAGAGAAGGAGAGAATTTCGGATAAAAAGAAGCGCGTACAAAGACGCGCATGCGCACTTACACGACGTACGAAATTCCGCTCTAACGAACGACTAGGTTGGCTCGCTCCCGCTCGCCAATAAATATATAGAAAAATCGCGCCGTTCGTACCACTAGGTTGGCTCACTCCCGCTCGCCAATAATTACACCTTTGTTCTGAACTGAAGACCTGCACCCACCGGACACAATGGACACAATGGTAAATTGACATACATACGTTCATTGTCTGCCACTGCTGTTGTAGTGATATCCATAGGCTTCTCCCAATGTTCACACCTTATAGGCCTCCCTGTTACATGGCCTGTTGTACTCCTCATGTTTATGGATCCGGCTATTGTGTTTAGGCATGGATATTACATAGCTGGATTACTAGAATGGCTAGCTAGCCTATCCAGAGTGTTGCATATCATATACATACTTTCCTATTTGAATGCACAGGAGGAAACACCAGTAAAAGTCATAAGACTCGAAGAAACTAACTTGTACGCGAGCGCCACCAAAGCTCTCAACACAGCTCTAAAAACTACCATTGGGTTGGCAATATTTGGAGGACTATTCTGCATGATTGGCGGGTGTTTTGGGATCTTATTCGCCAAGAGGGTAAGTGTTAGCACAAGATATATACTGGGGCGGAACCATAAAAATTCAAGCCCAAAGCCTCCTCACCCCAAAATTTAGCACCCAACGAAAAATGTGTTGAGTTTCTATAATTATAGTTGCTATCCACACCACCCCCAAAGCTTACTAGCTTCTACTGCCTCTGTAATACATGTACAAGATATGGGGAACACGTGTAAAGTATGGTGCAAATACTATTCCCTTGGCTTCTTTATCAGTACTGAAACAATTTTACTTTCGTATTCTTTTATCTAAAATAAACCATGCAGGCTGAGGTGTTTTTCAAAGAAGGAGACTTCCCTGCAGCAAAGAAACTGGTTCGCGCGTCATATGAGTGTTCTTTTGGTGCTCTAAACTGTGTACGCCACAACGTAAACTTTGTTTCTTTCATCATTCTAGTCATATGCATACGTACAATGTATATACACTAACCCTGTGTTGTATATATCTGTGAATAATTCTGTGACTCGTGCATTTTCGTTTCCTCTACCTCTTGTCTGTCCTGTTAAAATTATTTCCACTCCTTGTTTCATGATAAAGAGATGTTGCTATTCCCCAAGAGTGTTAAGCTATGGACTTTCACTTTGAAAATAAACAAATCTTGATGAAGATGAGCGATAACAATGGTATACACGTTAGAGATCAAAGCTGGTGAAGAATGAGCTGTCTTACAGACATCTCGTCTTTTCATTGCTGATAAATGCATCATTCAGTGTCCTCTGAGGCATCCATTTCACTGGGAGTCTAGTATTTCCTCTCACTTCTGTAGTACTGCTGAACTAGTGAGTACACATCTCGTGCACAGCCCCTAAAGTCTCCTACTAGCACCATGAACCCTCTTCAGTCACCCTGAGGTGTACATGTCATCTTACTACAGTGGTCCACTGGTATGGTAGGCTGTACATGCAGTTGCGTGCTGCCAGGTCGCGAAGTGAACAAACTTGCTTATCAGTCAGATACTCATTCCTTCAGCTATCTCAATGCACATAATCCGGACTGCAGATCCCGCAAATATGTTAACCCCACATATTCATAGCGAGAGAGAATATGGTTGTCTTCAACGTGCCCTAAAAACACGCTACAACAGGAAATCATCAAGTTGGTTGGTGGACTCTCTTCTGCTCTAAGGAACTTCTTGACAGATCCATGTGGTCTCAATGATGGTAGATGATGTAATGGAGAATTGCTCGGGAGTGTCGAACACACTCGCCAGGAGCACCGAGAATGTGAGGATGCTGGAAGTCCTTCATGATCAGACTCATACGTGCAAGAAAATGAACTCGCAGCTGAGTCTGTGTTATAGCTGCACGTACACAGTTATTATCGAGAGTCGGTAGACTCTCTATTAGGATGGACACGGGTGGGAAATCTCACGTGATCCGCGTAACAGAAAACGCCT